TGCATCCAAGTGATTAAGATATGGCCAACGGGTTATAAGTGGAATATCTTCCAGGCCTGGCCCATAAAAAAAAAACCCACTCCAATACTCCACTCTCTTTTTTTACCCAAAGGCTGAATAGAGAAGTCTCTGTATATCTAGTGGAGGGTGAAACCACAAGATGGAAGGAGCCTGGGTCACTGACTGACAAAGTGGAGCAGACAGAGCCTCTCCCCAGATGTCAACCCATGCTGTCCTATCATGTGAGTGAAGAACTAATTTTTAGTTGTTGTCAGACCACTGATATTTTGGGGTTGTTTGGGCCAGCAATCAACACACTCTGACTAATACAAGGGGTATATCATAATGTATATGATGACATTTATCTATATATTTCTGACCATCACAGGTTTTTTAAAAAGTTGAAGCAAAGTTCTATGTAAAGTGTAAAGCACTTCCAGTCAATATATGAAGAGCAATAGTTGAAATAATGAAAACTATACTGATAGTTGAGTCAAACTTTGAGACCACCTTATAACTAGGTGGTAGTATGGTTTCTAGAGATAATTTCAAGTATAAGTTATGTGCCATCTTAAGCTTTCTCATGCTAGTAATAGCAAAAAGTTGAAATGTCCTCCTCACCTTTTTAATACTCCAACTCCAATACTTCTTATACATTCAGGAATAGCTTGAGATAGATGATTCATTTCATTTCATTGCTTTCTGGATTCATTGATTGGGGCAGAGGAACACAAGTGTCTGAGCACAAGGTGGTCCTGCTGAGTGACAGGCAAAGCTTGAACCCTCTATAAGGTCTATTGCTCTGATAGTGACCCTGAGTGCTGAGCTTGTGTCTTGCTGGGACAGAGGTAAACATTTCAGGGAGGGATGCTCTCCTCTCTTCACACCACTACTTCCCATCTTATATTCAATGAAAGCTGCTCCAAGTCAAATAGAACAGAACCATTCAAAAGAAAACTCAATCAAAATCCACTGTGTTTAGTTACTTTTGTTCTACCTTAAATTCATAAATATATTTTATTACATAGTCTTTATTAAGTCCTAAACTTTGCATTTCACATTTAGTACTTTAATAAACCTAGAAATTTATAAAATATAATGTAAATGTAAATGTGAAAATATAACGTAAGGTAGAGTTCTAACAAAATTTTCTCTTCTTAGCAAGCTAGTTTTTGAACACTATCAACTAAGCAATCTGTCATTTCTCCAATGGGTCTTTGTGCCACATCTATGCTGAGTTGCAATATATTTCGCTCTCTACTTCTCCACTGATTTATTCATCTATTTTTTCATAGCATCATTCTATTATAATTTTCCAATCCATTCGTAGCATGTCTAATTTGGTAAAACAGTTCTCTTCCTTTTTTTTTTATTAAAATTGATTTAACTACTTTGTCATATATATTTTGGAATAAGTTTTTCAAGTTTGTCATAAAATCCAACTCTAATCTTGGTTAGTTATAGATTAAAGGTATAAATTAATTTACATATTATATTAAGCTATCACATCTAACAATAGAAAATGTCTCCACTTATTCTGATCTCTTATGTCTTCATAGAGTTTTAACATTTTCTATATGTAGGTCTTATATATTCCTTATTAATTCCTAGATACTTATAATTTTTCGTTGCTGTTTTTGTAAATTCATTGATTATTGCTGATTTAATGGAATACTATTTAATATTTAAATTGAATTTATATTTGGCAACTTTTCTACACTCTCATATTTAGTCCTAATATATTTTCAGTTGGGATATTACTTTTCATGTTTACGGGTTTTATTTTTTTTTTAATCTTTTTCACTGTATCTTGTTTATTTGCAATTCTCTTAAAAAGATTTTTGGAAAATCAATTTTGCAATAGATGCGGTTAACTCTTTTCAATAATCTAGTTTTTGGTTTTAATAATATTCTCTATTTTGTTGTTGTTGTTATTCTCTGCTATATTTCCTGTTTTATTTCTATTACAGCTTTCCTTCTCATTTCTTTGGAATTTTTCTGTTTCTCCTTTTCCAATATCCTGAGTTTTGTATTAAATATTTCTGTTTCTTGATGTCAGGGTTTTTCAACCTCAGCACTATTGATATTTTGAGCTGTATAATTCTTTCTTGTCTGTTTGGGGGGTTGTTCTGTGCATTGGAAGTGTTTAGCAGCATCCCTAGCCTTGACCCAGTAACTGCCAGTAGCAACCCCCTCCCAGTCATGATAGTAAAAAGTGTATTCAAACATTGCCAGATGTCTCCTGTGGTGGGGAGGAATTATCCTCTGTTGAGAACCACTGGAAATTGACCAAAGGCATATAACAAATTGAGAAGCGTTTATTCAAGAAAAACTACTGAGCCTCTTATAAAAACAGTGGTAATCTGTGATGTTTTAGCCTTGGGCTGCTCCCTTACTGTTCATCAGTAGTTCTACCAGGGTGGGGCAAGCTATAAAAGCAAACAACTTTACTTTCAGGGGAGATGACTTGATTTGGAGTGGAAGCCAGAAAAACTCCATGGCCGGGAGAGTTACCTAAACAGTAGTGATCTCTGTGGCAAATGAACAAGGAAGGCCAATGTTGCAATTCATCTGAGTTTGCAAAACTGATGAAGGCAAGCAACTAACCAGCCAACTAGCCGGAAATTTAACAGGAGATCTTGGGAATGAGACAGCCATAATGGGCCTTGATAAATTTCCACACATCCTTGGCTGTCTGAAAGGCCACATGCGTGTGTAAGGCTATAAACATGTTCAGGAAAGACCAAAGAGGGTCCTTATTATATACACATCCTTCGCTTGTACATAAACAGAAGAGACAAAATAAGGGCCAGCAGATATTAAAAGCTGAATCAGATTAAGAATTGCCTGAAGTGGTCCCCAGTGAGCACACATATCTAATGGCAAATGGATGAAGACTTACTGGCTCAAGGCATTTGAGCACAAACTCTGGTCAACTATGCTGACACAGAGGTTATCCCTAGGAAGCCAGGATTAAAATAAAAACAAGATTAAAAAAAAAAAAAAAAAAAACTGAGGCATCAGTATCCATGCATCACAGAGGGGAAAGTCTTCACACAATTAGTGTAGGCACATCACCAAACAAACAGGATAATCATAACCACTGTGGGAGAATCCAAATTCAGAGTGTTAAAAAATATATAAAATCTCCAGTTTCCAATAAAAAATTATCAGACATGCAGACAAATAAGAAAGTGTGACACACACTTTGGAAAAAATAATGTCTTTGATGGGGCCCAAGTGTTATCAAACTCTATAATTGTCTCCAGATGTCGGACTTAGCAGACAAAGACTTCAAAACAGCTATTATAAATGTATCAAAAAACTAAAGTAAACCATGTTTAAAGGATAAAGGAATGCATAACAACGACTCTTCAAACAGAAATACCAATTAAAGATACAGACATTGTAAAAAGAGAACCAAATGGAAATTCTAGAGTTAAAAATACAGTAACCAAAACAAAAAATTCACTAGAAGGACTCAAGAGAGTGGCATTATTCATAATATCCTAAGACTGGAAACTCTCTAAATGTCCATCAATTGGTGACTGGGTAAACAATATGTGATATGTCCATACAACGGGATACTACTCAGCAATAAAAAAGAGTATAGTATTCACACAGTTCATATGGGTGAACCTCAAAAACAGGTGAAGTGAAAGATGCCAGATGCAAAAGACTATATACTGTATGATTTCTTTTACATGAAATATCCATAAAAGGCAAACCTTAGAGGCAGAAAGATTAGTTGTTGCTTGCAGCAGGGGAAGGAGCCAGAATTGACTACAATGGGCATGAGGGTTCTTGTTTTGGTGATAAAAGTGCCCTAAAATTGGAATGACTTATTAAAATCATTAAAAGGTTGACTTAAGATGAGTGAATTAGGTTGTGTGTAAGTTATGTGCCAATAAAGCTGTTAAAAATATTATTATTCATATTCATATCAAGTATAAATAGAAGGACTTTTATGGATCAAGATATATTACATTTTTCTCACAAATAATCATCATCATCAAAGCTTTAGTAACAATTGTATATTTAGCCTTCATTATGTATCATTATTTGAGGCTCTTTAAATGTATAATCACATTATTTATATGTATGAGAAAGAAAATAATAACCATCATGATACAGATAAATGAATGGACACTCAGAATAAAAAATTTGCTAAAGGACTCTTACCCAGGTAGCTTGACTCCTAAATTCCTAGACTCAACCAAGGCTTATTATAATCTACTAGTGGGATGTATGTGTGTGTGTGTGTGTGTGTGCATGTGTGAGAGAGAAATGTGACGTGACATCAGATTAATATTGGGTGATGTTAAAAGAAATGTAATGCTGTAGATAATATATTTTTACACTTCATAATTACTGGGTTATATATATATACACACATATATAATCACTGTTAAAAATTGTTAATCCCTTAAGGATTAAAATTTCAACAACTCTTTCAATTGCCAAATGATATTTTACTTTCAGCCTAATATTTTTCAAGAAATTAAGTGAAAAGTTAGTTTTTTGACTTCTTAACCACTTGAGAATAGTAGTAGCATTTTTCTTAAACTTGAGACCTAACTATAATTTTAAAAAAATGTCTATATGTAAAAACCACCTAGTAGGTTATGATGATATCATAATATAGATCTCAAAATAAGAATAAATTTGATTCATTATTTTCACTAATGTGGATCTTAAACTTACTCTAAACTTATAACTATCTTATCATAAATTATTCTAACCTTCATTTTAATAACACAGTCAAACCAATTACAAAGCATATAGTTTCTTTCCTTTGTTTAACACATGAAAAATTCACCTATTGCTGATTCTTTGACTTTAAATAAATTCATAGGCTTTCTTATTGCCCATTAGAAGCAGTGTTTTGCTGACATGAAGATAAAATAAATCATTCATAATCAGTAAATCTTCGTAGTGTAAGTTTACATGCAGTGATTATCCAGGACTGGTAAAGAAGAAAATTTAGTGGAAAATCTTACCACGCCAATGGAAAAGTAATTATTGATGATACTGTAAGGCACTGGGTCTCCCTTCTCATCTTTGTCATTAGGAATGACTTCAAACTTCCACCTGTCCAACATGACTTCTGTGCTGTTTTCAATGTCTTTTAGGATTTTCATCAGATTTTCACCTTCATAACCTAATGAAAAAAAATTATCTTGAGAAAAAATATAACCAAATAACAAAAAGTATATTTATATGTGTTAGAGTGTGTTTACCCATGTGATCATTCTAAAGCTAAATAATGTATTTTTAAAGCAAATTCTAACACAAAAAGAAGAATTAATTGTAATCTTATTAGATTCATACCAATGTTTTATTTTTAGTTTAATTTGCAACTCGTATTTCTTTCCTGTGGTGCAAATTCTCAGTATAGCCAACTGCCAAATGAACATCTCCACTACATAACCCCCCCCCAAAACTTTATATCAACATATTCAAAATAAAATTAATGATCTGCTTCTATATCTTCCTCCTGTGAGCAATCTCTCAGAAAAGCCACGCCCTCCACATGGTTGCTGAAGCAAAAAGTCTGCACGCCAATTTAGACTGCTCCCTTTCCATCACTCCCTTGTCCCAGGCTTGCCCCTCTAGAGATACAGAACAACTCTCAATGTAAGTAGAAGGTCCTTCTCTTTTTAATCTTGTGCCATATCGTCTCTTATTCTAAATACACAGAATATCCCTTTTCTTTTGGTTGGCTTGCTTCTACTTCCTCTGCAGGTTTTGTATTTGGTAACACTCATTTCTGGAAGCCATGCTCCCAAAATAATGGATTCTATGCAGTCGCACAACACACACTTCTGAAAACTAGCCCTACCTTACAACTAGTATACCACGTTATAGTTATTTGCACTTTCTCACTACAAGTTCCTTTTACCTGGTCTGCCCTGGAGTAAATGCTCAACAAATCCATTTTTTAATGAATCTACTATAGTCAACATGGACTGAAAAGAAAGTTATTTCTTACTATCATATTTTTTCTTAAATGTATCTATAGGTGTATAACATTATAGTTAAGACTGTAGCCTAATACTGGCTGTGTTACTTACTTAAGTGTTTGTTTTAAAGATTTTTATTTATTCAGTTTTTTCCCCCCAAAGCCCCAGTAGATAGTTGTATGTCATAGGTTCACAACCTTCTAGTTGCTGTACGTGGGACTCGGCCTCACGTTGGACGGAGAAGTGGTGCCTCGGGGCGCTCCCGGGATCCGAACCCGGGCCGCCAGCATCAGAGCGCGCACACTTAACCGCCAAGCCACGGAGCCGGCCCTTAAGTGTTTGTTTTAAACCTCCCTAAATAGTTTCTCCCTCAGGAAAAACTTAGGTTTGTTGTGAGGATTAAATCAGAAAAAAAATGAAAAAATGCGTAAAAGGTCTTGGTAGATGAGGAATGAGAATAGAAAGTTCTCATCGATATAATACTGACAATAACATCAGAATTTGAAATATTGTTTTAAGTTGAATAATGTATCTTTCTCTAACTCTACACACACACACGTTCTTGAAATGATATTTTGAGTTGCAACAATATTTTCATAGATTTTTTTCTGTGTCCAACTTGGGTCTATATTTTAACAATTTATTCATGGAACAAGTAAATGCCAGAGGCTATGATTCCTCATTAGAGGTGTTAGCACACATAACGTTGTAAACACTAATTGGGTTAAAAGAAAAAAGAATAGGCACTGTAATACACCAACATTCTCTAAAGATGAATAAATTACATTTATGGTGTATTTGTTCAATGAACTTTTAGAGGGTCAAGGCAGCCAGAAACTAGAAATATCTATTTTGGAGCCCACCATCACTTCTTATCTTACACAGGTTTAAAAAATAATTATGCACTATTTAATACATATAGCAAAGAATACAACAAACAATAATAACACAGATATACACATTAAAAGTATCAAATGTTATTTCAGTAGATGTCATATCATATTTTTATAGCATATTCAAAAACTATGAACACACATAATAATATGCATATAACTGTGCTCAGTGCCAAAACATTGAATTGTTTAAACTACAAGACTATAATAATTAAACTTGCTTATATTTCAGAAGTTTCTTAGTAGTTCTACCCTCATTATCAATGTTTAATCTCTTCTTAAATTTTTATTTCTTTTAAAAAGAATAAATAATAGCCACCCAAATAAAATTTTATATATTTTTTCCCTATTGAATTGAATAAAAAACAGTTAAATATATTCACCTATTTTCTGAATTCTACTCCTGTTTGAAAATAAGTATGATGGTTTTCAGATATAAATTAATTTACGTATATTAATATAATATAGTATAGTAATATAGTACGAAAGTATAGTGAAATATATATAATATTATATATATGTATACACGCACATACACATGCTGAGCAGAAATCTGAGTACATTATGCTTTAAATCAAATATTGAGCTTGTCCTCAGCTGGATCTCAGGTTAATAGCAGCATGGTTCAACATAACACTGGAAAAATATAGGAACAGTAGATGACTAGGAAAGAATGTAGTAGGAATGAATTTAGTGAAAATTAATTACTACATCTAGACTCTAGTCGGGTCACTCAACTTAAAATCTTTACCACTGGATATGTTCTCAAAGCTTTTTATTTTGTGAGGAAGATTAGCCCTGAGCTAACATTCGATGCCAATCATCCTCTTTTTGTTGAGGAAGACTGGCCCTGGGCTAACATCTGTGCCCATCTTCCTCTATTTTATATGGGACGCCGTCACAGCATGGCTTGACAAGCGGTGCGTATGTGTGCGCCCAGGATCCGAACCTGTGAACCCCAGGCTGCCAAAGGAGAGTGCGCTCACTTAACCACTACACCACAGGGCTAGCCCCAGTTCTCAAAGGTTTAATGGCTAAATATGAAGAAGGCTGGTATCAATCAACCTTCTAGCCAAGTAAAAATGGAAAGAGGCAATAAATCTATTTTGAGAATCATAACATCTGCAGTTCAGAACTAATGTACAAAGGTGAAGAATTACAAATTGGAGTCCCCCATTTAACAAATAGCTATACCCTACTTGTTTGTATTTATCTCTGCTCAAGCTTGTTTAATAATGATCCGTAACTATAAATAGGATTCCTGAGCTCACGAAGATCATATTTTTCAAAAAAGACAAATTAAAATCACTAAATATGCAAGCAAAAGCTTATTTCCAGAAAAGAATGATGCTATTTTGCCTCCATTATTTTTATTTAAAGCCTATTATGACTCTAGGCTAAGAAACAAAATGAAAACATAATATTTACTTTCTATTTAACGATATGATATCATAACGACTGAGTCGATCTAAAAAGTCAGAAATTTTTACAAATGAACATCACATAAAGGCAACAATAAATATTTGTAAGAGTGCGCTCCATCTAACTCTGTCTCTTACCCCCTTACTCTTCACAAAACAACATTTTTCTTGCAATATCTTCAAATTTATGTTAGACTAATTATCACCAGAAAAATTGCAAAGAGCATATAAATTATGTATTTTTCAAATGCCCTAGGATATCCTATGTTCTTACAGTGTTATATTTTCTACATCCAAAATACGGAAATATACTCTCATGAAAAAGAAGCTTCCAGGGGCTGGCCCGGTGGCATAGTAGTTAAGCTCACGCACTCTGCTTCGGCAGCCCAGGGTTTGCAGGTCTGGATCCCGGGTGCAGACCTACACACCGCTTATCATACTGTGGCAGGCATCCCACATGTAAAGTAGAGGAAGATGGGCACGGATGTTAGCACAGGGCCCATCTTCCTCAGCAAAAAGAGGACGATTGGCAACAGATGTTAGCTCAGGACTAATCCTCCTCACTGGAAAAAAAAAAAGAAGCTTCCAATCCATATATTCCAGGGACCTTAAGTGAATCAAATGATTATTGGTTGAATAAAGTCCTTTCTTTCCCAAATGTTAAACATGATAATTACTATGACTACATAAAGTTCTCAGCACAGACACTGGGCAAACAATTTAATAGTTTGGCACAAGTATCTAAGAGGCAAGCACAATTATTTTCTTTAAATTCTGATGAGAAATCTGAAGCACACAGTTGTTGAGCAACTTGCTCAGTTACACCCCTGGCAAGAAATAATCCCACTAGCTTCTCCATTTTCCTAATTGCTCACCTCTGGCATCACTTAGTCCCTCTTGCTACCTCCCTTTCCCCAAAGCCCCTATGCAATCCACTGACTAGTTCTATCACTCCATCCCCAAAAATGTAACTCCAGTTTGTCTACTTATCTCATTCACATTACCACCCCCATAGTACAGTCCTTTTATTCTCTAATTATGACAACTATAAAGTTCTCATTTGGAAAACTATAATTCTCCACGTTTTTACATTTTCTTAACAGTTTGTTTTACACCCCAAGATTAATCTATTTTTGAAAACATAAATGTCATCATGTCACTCTGCTTTTACTACTTTTTCAAAGTTTCAATTTGTGTTTCAGATTCAAGCAAATAAAATTCTTACCATGACCATCACGCCCCCTGCATTATCTGGCTCCTGATTCTCTCTCCAATCTCATACTGTTCACCCCTCTGCCTCCGTCCCTACCCACCACCCCATGACAGCTTTGAGAATCACATCAGCCTTCCTTCAGTCCTTTCAATCCAGGAAGTGATTTCTCCCTCCTAATATTTTAAATCCAGCTTAAATATTACTTCTTCAGAGAGGCCTTCTTGACCATCTAGCTAAATAGTTTCCCTCTGTTAGTCTCTAAAAATACACTCTGATTCTTCCATTGCCTTCAACTTATTTTGTAATTATGTATTTCATTGTTCATTGATTTATTTTCCGTGTACTCAGTGAAAATGTAATCTCCAGGAGGGGTAGGAGCCATTTATTTATGTTCTTATTCTCTATCTAGCACCTAGAACAGTGCCAATACAGGCGAGGCACTCACAGAGAGTTCATCATTAATATATCCCTGACATATACTACAATCCATGTATCTTTGGCCGCTGAATAATGTCTTTAAAATAGTTTTAAAAGAAAATCATTAGAGTATGCCTGATATGGAACTTTTATATCAGTTTAGAGATTTAAGCCATTTGCTAGTTTGGAACCAAAAATAATATTATTAATTTTCAAATATCAAAAATATTTTCCAGAAGAATACAATAAGAAGCCACATGCATGATTCCCTTCATTTTAATCAATACACATATGTAAGTACTGGCAAATATAAGCATTTCATGAGCAACAGTTCTTTCTTTAGATTGTATGAGATTTAACTCAATATTTAATAATATTCTTTTACTGAATTATATCCTTAATGAAGATCACAAATAGATCATATACCAAGTTTTTAACTTAGTTTCCAATACTGTCATATACATTTACACAACTTAAGAGTTCACCCGTTGGCCAGACACTCATGGAAAAATTGTTCTCAGATTTAGTTGTAAATCGGAGTTAGTTAGGGCTTTTGTTTTTTTTAAAAAAAACTCGTATGTCCAGGTCCCACCCCCAGAGATTTCCGTTCAGCATATTTAGGATGAGGTCAGGACGCTATATTTTTAACAAGCTCCCCAAGGGCGTCTGATCTGTCTTAGTATACACTTTTCAAACTTCTCTTAGTGAGTTTAGGTGCTAAAAATATTTAGGATTCAATTCTTGCTTCTTTAGCAAAATCCAGTTTTTTTTTTTCCTTTGGTATCCTCAGGTAAGTATAGCCTATTACTGACTCTTCAAAATATTTTAAGACCTCTTCCTGAAATACTCTCCCCTTATGCACTGTGTTCATCTACACTATTCCATTTTGAGTTCCTTGAATATGTCAAATGCCTTCCTACCTCTGGGCCTTTGAACTTCATGTTCCCTTTGCCTATAAAGTCCACCCCAGTTCTATATGGCTCTGTCATTATCCAGCCATTAGGTTTCTCCCCTATGTCATCTTGTCATTTTCTGGGCGAGGCCTTTCATTATGTTGGTTTTCTGTTTACTTGTTAGCAGGAAGTCTCACAATTTACGTATGACTTTATGTGCCACTAGCACTAGGCTCTTTTGAAGGCAGACTGTGTTTTCTATTCTTAACCGTGTATCCTAAGTGCAGAACACACTGCCTGGTGTAAAATGGGTCTCAAAAAATAAGTGCTATTTAATGTATTCATTCCTGGACAAGTCATTCATTAGCCTTTCAGTTTTTTCCTTTGTTTGTGATTTTACCATACAACTCAGAGATTAAAAATCTGAACACTGCTTTAGAGTTAATCCATGCTTATCTCATTTCTTAAATTAGAAACCCAAAAACCAGAGAGGTTTGAAAGCTTGCCTGCCTCATCAAGTCTGTAATTAGTATCAGATTAAAAAGCCCAACACGCAGTCTAACTCTTGGTCCATAATTTGTTTCTCTAACGCAGACTATTGTTCAAAATCATATACTATATTTGCTGACATCACATGGCAGTGGCCATGCTGTAAAGAAACGCTGGTTTATTTTGGGGGGAGGGGAGCACGTTCTGCATTGTATTTCTGCCTTTTAAGGATTTGGTGGTGTCGCCCCTGTTTTACCTCCTCCCCATCGCAGGCATCTTGCTAGATCATTGCCGGTTCCAAGTGGCAGAATGGCGACCGGAGGATGCTTCACAACATTCGCCTTTTCTGTGGAATTTAAAAATTAAAATAAAATTTTGATCACAGATAGAAAAAGAGTAAACAAGACAGCTTGGCATGAAATGAAGGCATTCCACTAGGTACTTAGAAAAAGTTCCGTTTTGTAGATATATATAAATTATGATTAATTTGTATGCATTTGTAGCAATTTATAAACACAAATAAATAGCCTAATTCACAAAGTGACAGGAATATTCAAGACTCTTGCATGAGGACGGCCTTTTTAAATATTTTAACTCAGTTAAAAATTGTGGCGAGTTTAACTCCATTGAAATTCTCAAGGATGCAGGTATATGAGCATGGGAATCCACATACAGGGATGTCACCAGAGTGGAGAGGTAAGTTCCCATATAAAGTCCTTCTGCAGCATCAACTTGAGGCACATTTTACTTTAAGGAGTAAAATATTTTGAAAACAGTCGAATTCTAAAAGCGAGTAAAGTGCTAACAATATCGTTGTGTTGTTCCCACCCATGGTTTACTCTGCTTTGTGACAGAGTAAACAGTGTAAGAGCCGGGTATCTCTGAGATCAGCAGGCTTTCTTTGAATTCCATTTTACGTAACATAGTGCTTTGGGTTCGGAGTAGTAAAGATCTTGGCCACTGAAATTCCATATGCTTTTGTTTGAATCATCATATGCCCTGAATACTCTCACAAACGTTTATTACTTTCTTAATTTTTTTCTCCGTTCTCAGCCCCTCAAAGTCAGTATGTGTCTGTGTGTAAGAATGGGGAGAGAACAGATTATGTGGATGTGCCACAGTGTAATAGCCAAGGCTTAGATTTGGGGGGCTAAAACAAACCAATAATATCCCACTTTTATTTTTCACTCAAAAATTCTCAGAAGTCCTCAGACATTGTTCAAATAACTCTTTAATTTTTGCAATTCTTGAATTCTTGTTTTCTCTTTAAATATAGCATATTAATACTATTTACATCTTTTATTGGAAAACCAAAGAAAACAATTTTCAAAAAAAGTTAGTGGATTAAAGTCATTAGATGCTTATCAAAAGTGTGCTGACAATATGTATTCATGTTTAATTTGAATATTTTTGCATGTATGAAAGGCTAGAATATTCTCACCTGCATTGACTAAATAAAAGTTTGCTTCAATTTGTATAAATAGCAAAACTTCTTTTGAATCAATTCTTTACTTTTTGTCAAAGGGCCCATTTTTAACAAAGAATTGTTCAATGCACTCACTGAAATGAGAAGTAAAGAAGTGAACATTTGTTTTGGATTTATCTCCTCATAAAGGACAATTCATGATTTATTTTACTGAGTGGTAATCAGTTGCGACAACTGACTGTCTCTGAAAAACCAGATAATGTTCCTGAATTTATCAAGCTTTTCTTGTGATGCATGTCTACCTTTTCTCCTAAATCATGTACCTGTTTTGTTTGCTTATAAAAATCAAGCTTTTTAAATGTAAACAGAGAGGCAATATAGAAGAAGGTTAAAGTGTGGGCTCTAATCCCAGCTCTGTCAATTCACAGCTACAAGACTTGGTTCTATCTAACTTCCTGGCGGATTAAATTCCCTATCTCTAATATGGAATTATCAATACTATGGAATCAAGAATTAAGATGAATGGAGTAAAAATCTTAGCACAAAGCCTTAGATAGCAGATGATAAATAAAAATTAGCTATGATGATGATAATAAGGATTGATGATAATGATAGAATGTACATAGAGGGTAAGGTTTGGAGGCTCCATGCCTAAACAAAATAAGTACATCTGTTTGACACAGACATTCGCAAATGCTAAGACCCTCTATGGCTCCCTCTCCAGGGCAAAGAAACAACTGGATTTTGTGGAGCCTCATTTGAAAATAACTGAGGGGTTAGTAAATTCCATGAGAAATGAATGAGAAAAAAAGGATTTCTAGATACTTATAAATTATTTTGTTATTTAAAATTTTGAAATATAGATGAATAAACTAAATCAGTAAAGATGCCAACGATATCACTATAGCATCCAAAGATATCAATGCATTAATAAAATAAATAAATAAAATATACAGAATTTAAAATTACCACTCTCACCCCAGCCACATTGAATATGTGTCTTCATTACCTATGCAGTCTAAAATCCACCCCACAGTGCCGTCTCCACCGCAAGCTAACACTCTGAAGTCAGGAACGTCGCGGAAAAAGTTTAACCTGAAAAATAACCATGTTATGGCACATGATTGATATTTTAAAATTAGGACTTTTTTAGTTTTGTATTCTTAGCATTTCACATAATGAAAGACATATTTATTATATGAAAACTGTAAAATAATCTCAATGATTTTATTCAAAAATACTAAATTATTATCTAGAATAAAATTCTAAAAGTATTAATGTCTTAACATATTTTAATTGTATATTCTAGATTCTATAATAAATATATATTTTTTCTTTTATCAACTCTAAATTTAGAAAAAACGCCAAAATTAATAAATTATAATAATTTTCATTAAGATATTCTCCCAGATGTGATCTGCAGTTCACATAATCTAGTGACATAAAATATATTATTTCATTTAATAATTTTTATTAATCAAAAATTCTCTTTTGAATCATTATATAAATGTGACTATTATGTCCGTGAATATGTCTTTGAGAGCTTTCTGCTTTCTCCATTAGTGGGTGAAATTGATCAGACTGCATTTGGGATTCTAGCCAACTGTTTCAGTGTTTCTTTCTGACTCAGAATCTGCAAGTAGGAGCCAGGCTTCTCAGTCTTTTGACCTGGCCCACAGTGTTTGCTACCAAGGAACACTCAAGCCTAATTCCTGGTCAACTATAATAAATACCCACTGCTTCTGCTGCTGCTGCTGCAAGCAGTGTGCTTATTAATGCAGCCTACCACGGGGAAAGTTACAAAGGCAGGTAATGTAGCCAGTTATACAATCATACATGCCTATTTTCTTGCAATAAAACAATTGAAATAGGATAGAAATATTTGGAATGTGTCTCTTCACCTCCCTTGTCCTAGAGATAACCATGGTAATAATATAATACGCAATCACCCGAGAAATTTCTCTAAATATTTACATATATGAATATACACATATAAATTTTATTACACATTTTTAATATGAATGGGATTATGCTATAGCCTGTCAATTTATTTGTGTGCATTTTTTTAAATTTAAAAATGTCTAAGAGATCTTTCTGCGTCAGCACATATAGTGTTGCATCATGACTTATAAGTGAATGTATTACATAAGGTGTACATTCCATGATTAAATAAATCATTTCTCTTCATGTACTTTTAAACCATTTCTAGTGTTTCACCACTACAAAAAAATAATTATTGTAGTTAACATTATTTGAAGTACGTTTAAGTGAACATGTGCATATGTTTCGAAGGCTAATCTAGAAGGAAAATGTTCCACTACACCATCATATCACCCCCTGAATGGCTCCCACTATAGAAGATATGTGTCCATTTCCTTGCAACTCCAAAACACTACATATAAACTTTTTATATTTCTTCAATACTAGTGAAAACAGTATCATGCTGTTATTGTAAAATCACACATCCCTGTTTACTAGTGGGTTGAGTATATTTTTGTAGGTTTACAGATGCGTGACCTCTTCTGTGAATTGCATCTTCAAAGCCTTTCTCCTCTTTTCCATTGAGTTGTCATTTATTATTCTTATAAACTCTTTACACATTATGAGTGATGTTTTTCATTTAAATTAGCATCATTAGAGAAAACATTGTTAAAGTTATACAAATAATGCATAAATATAATAGAAATGTATAAAAATTAACTAAAACCTCACCATCTGATAAGAAGAGCCATGAATATTTAGAACATGAAACTTTCATATATTTCCCTAGGTATTATATTAAGGATATCTACCTTTTGTTAGATATGTTTCAATATTTTCTTCCAGTCTATTATAAGTTCTTTTACTTGTATTATGTATAATATAAACACCTATGTACCAACTGCCCACCCCAAGGGTAGAACATTTCCAATAACTTACATATACTATACCTCTGTGCTCTTTCCCTATGTCATCCCTCTTCTCATTCACAAAAGTGAGCACTATTCTGAATTTTGGATTATCATGTACATGCCACAAACAACATATTGTTTGCTTTTTGCTATTTTCACTTAGCATTGTTACTAAGATTCATTCATGTGGTAGATGAAGCTCTCCATGTGTAGTTGCTAAATACCGTTTATGTGAACACAACTTTTTAAATCCCTGTGCATGGACATTTGGATTGGTTAGTTTTATGTTCTTATAAAAACATCATTATTGGATATGCTTCGTAATCTTCATGGCAGTGGCTACTTTTGGAGTAGGGTATACTTATATACAACTATTGTTTCCCAAAGAAATTGTACCAATGCATACATCCAATAGCAAGGTAGATAAGATTTGGCTGAGCCCATCCTTTCTAACACTCGTAATGTCACACTTAATTTCATGTGTTTCCTCTTCTGTGAAATGGCTGTTCATGTCTTTTGTCTCTTTTCTCTACTCCTTTTCTTTTCTTGTTGATTTGTGAAAATTCTTTATTTGTTCTTAATTTTAATCCTTTTGTTTATTTTTTTTGCAAATATCTTCTACAACTTGAAAGATTTTTCTTTTACTTTAATTAATATGTATTTTAATGAACAAGATTTAGTTTTAATGTATTCAAATTTATTGATCATTTCATAAGTGGCTAGCGCTTTAGTCTGTTTTATGTAAGAAAAGTTTGCTTATTCAGAGGTTAGAAGAGAATTCACATATACTCTCTTCTAAAATTTCAGTTTTACTTTTTTTTTTTTTGTGAGGAAGATCAGCCCTGAGCTAACATCCATGCCAATGCTCCTCTTTTTGCTGAGGAAGACTGGACCTGGGCTAACATCTGTGCCCATCTTCCTCCACTTTATGTGGAATGCCACCACAACATGGCCTGAGAAGCGGTGCCTTCTGAACCGGGCCGCCAGCAGCAGAGTGCGAGCACTTAACCACTACGCAACAGGCCCAGCCCCTCAGCTTTACTTTTGACAGAAATTCTATGTGGTGATGTGAGGTAGGGATTATAGTCTACCACCATTATATATAATGATATGTTTATATATAAATGCATATTTAATATATATTATATATATTAATAAATACAATGATAGACTAAAATCCCTACCTCACACCACCACATAGAATTGTTTATATAAATATATATAAAATATATTGTTTAATATATATATAAATATAATGTATAAAATATTCACAATATTCTATTGTGGTGGTATGAAGTGGGGATCCCTTTATTCTCTTCCCTTCTTCTCTCCCTCCCTCCCTCCCTCCCTCTGCCCTCTTTTTCTCCTTTTTTCTCTCTTCTTTTCTCCATTTCTCCCTTCCTTCTTGCCTGTTGGTTGTTGTGCACCAATTACTCTTTTCATTTTTTAATTTCAATTTATTGGATAATTCGACTTTCTACCATGCATGCTCCATCATAAGTCAAATTTACATATATGAGTACATTTCTTTTTGGATCGTCTATTGTATTTTACTCAAGAATTTGTCCATCTCTGAACCAGTGGCACACTCTGATAACTACTATAGCTTTATAGTAAGTCCATATTTCATAGAGCATGAAGAATCTAGGCTATTATTCCTTCTTTGCTTTTCTATATATATTTTAAAGCTAATTTGTTATAATCCACAAAAATAAACATAAAAACAAAGAAAATCTCATCATGATTTTGACTGGAATTACGTTAAGTCAACAGATCAATTTTGGGAGAAATAACATCTGTGTAATGTTAACTTTCCTGATCCATGAAGATAGGATGGTTTAATTTATTTAGATAGTCTTTAATGCCCTTCAATAAAGTTTTAATTTTCTGCTTACAGGTCTTTCATATATTTTATTAGATTTATTCTTGGTTGTTTTATAATTTGTGTTGGTATTTTATTTTTTTGTTTTATTATTTTTTTTTAATTTTTTCTGAGGAAGATCAGCCCTGAGCTAACATCCATGCCAATCGTCGTCTTTTTACTGAGGAAGATTGGCCCTGAGCTAACATCCGTTCCAATCTTCCTCCACTTTATGTGGGATGCCGCCACAGCATGGCCTGACAAGTGGTGCATCAGTACGTGCCCGGATCCGAACCTGGGCCGCCAGCAGTGGAGTGCGTGCACTTAACCACTATGCCACGGGGCCAGCCCCTGTGTTGGTATTTTAAATGTTTCCAAAGTTATCTATTAATATTAATGTTTTTATTGCTGGTGTATATATTTGACTTTTATACATTGATCTGATAAGTAGCCACATGATTCCTGTTTTTTCTATTGTCTATGTTATGTTTGTAGATTCATTTGGATCTCTATGTAAACGACTGTATCATATGCTAATAAAAATGGTATTATTAGTGATTTCCAATCCGTACAATTATTTCTTTCCCCGTCTTATTGTGCTGGCCAGAGCTCCAAAACATTGTTGAATTTGAGTATTCACAGAGAACATCCATATCTTGTTCCTGAATTTAAATGGAATACTTCCAGAATTTCCCCATTTAGGATGATGCTTGTTGTAGGGATTTTCTTTTCTTTTTTGAGTGACACCTTTTATAAGGTTAATAAAGATTCCTTCTATTCTTGTTATAGTAAAAATTTTTATTACAAATCAATTTTAATTTTTTTCTGCATCTTTTGAGATGTTGATATGGTTGATCTCATTTAATCAGTAATGTGGGAATATACATCTGTACATTTCTGCATTATTAAATCATTCTTACAATCTTTTCATGTACCCAAATTGGACATTGCTTATTAATATTTCTATAGAGAATTGGCTTTAGTTTGCTAATTTTTTTTAGAAGTTTTGCATCTATATTCATGAACACAATAGACGTACGATTTTTCTTCTGATATCATCTCTAATTTTTATCAAAATTATTCTGCCTCATAAGATGAGTTGCAGAGTATCTGTTTTTTTAAGTATTTGCATAATATGGAAGTTCCTTGAAACTGGTAGCACTTGTATATAAACTATCCAATTTCTCGTGAGTCATTGATTTCTTTTTTTTAAATAGAAAGGGCTTAAATAATTGTGCTAAATCCTTTAATAATTATTGAAAAAATTCATATTTTCTAATTCTTCCTAAATCAGTTTTTGCCAGCTATATTTCT